CCATCTTATCCCAGGTAACTCAAAGGGTGTTATTTCCCTAATATATTCCATATAACTGGACATTCTAGAAAGAATATATGTATATATATATATATATATATATATATTTATTTATATTTGTTTGTTTGATTGATTATTTATTTATTTATTTCCTGGTCTGGTTAGGCCACGTAGTTGCCTCGCCATAATTACAATAAGCCCATACAGTGCACCAAGACGGGTTTACAGCAATGTGTGGGAGGTGCATCGCCATTCCGTGGAGCTCAGCTCAACTCTCTGCGATCCCATGCAGCACGTGAGCTCTGTCCTGCAGCCCACTAAGCCGCAGCAGCCTCCGAGAGCAGGTGGTCGGGCTCGTCACCAGGCCCCTGCGAGGTTCACGTGCAAGTTCAGCGCCCTGCATGGAGCAGGGACGCAGGGTTCCGGGCGTCTGCGGAAGGGGAAACCAGGTAAATGCAGCGGAGACACGGTGATCCACGGCGTAAACTTACTTCTGGCATTTTTAGCCACGATTTTCAGAACCGAGGCTTCCTGGATGTCATCCGCTATTCTGGGGGCGGGGTGGGGGGTACACGGCTTGGGAGGAAGTCAGAGTGGGGCTGGTGGTAGAGTGGCTCCTCTCTATGATCTTGGGAAGAGATTTCCTGTGCGGACGCCATCTTGACGTACGTGCGTCTCAGTGCGTCCTCGTGGAGCCGGTTCGTGGACGGCTCTCGGCTTCCTGAAGAGCCCGCTCTGATCGACCCCAGCCCGGGCTCCAGCCCCCGTGCTCTTCAGGGAGGACAGTGGGGACGTGTTTCTGGCCGCACGCCACACCATGGGTGAGTGGGTCAGCCCAGGAATCGGGGAACAGGAGGGGGGCACTCTGGCACGCGACTCCCCTCGCATCCTTGAAACCCCCAAATCCTGTCCGAGTGCGGTGGGCAGGTGACTTGCCAGTAGCATCAGGAAGGGGCCGATGGGCACTGCATGGCAAACCTCTCTGTGAATCACCCTGGCTCCGGTGACGTCCTTCTCCTGGTTGAAGAGAAAGGCCTGAGTCAAGTGATTTTCGGCTTGGGCAGTGAGGAAGGTACCCGTGGATTTCCATGTGGGGAATTTACCGTCCTGGGATTTGTATTACACGTTTGGGAATGGGCTAGCAACCCACCTTACCCTTTAATCCTCACCCCAGCCATTCAAGGCAGATTATAATCCCTCAAGAGATTTGTCTGAGAGATAGTTGAGACTTTCCACTCCTGTAAACAGATCCGGTCTCAGAAACTCACAGGGGGCACCTCTGCCATGTCCTATAGTGTCCTTGTGAGCTGGGATTGACTGCATGGCAGTGAGTTCCATTTTATAGGAGTGTTACAGGCTTGTTTGCAGTGCCTGGGGTTACTGGGATGCTCACTACAAATTCACCAGTTCAAACACCAGCCTCTGGGGGGGGGAGTGAGGGGCAGCAGTTCTCCTGTGCTCTATCCCGTCCCTATGAATCACAATGGACTCAGGGGCAGTGAGAGGCTTGTTTATTGGTCCAGCATATGACCTGCAAGATAATATTCCATGTATGATTTTTAATGAGCCATGCTGTACGTCAATGAAGCAAATTTTATGATCCACACTGGTTAAACCTTCGCCATCTAACAGAGTCGGCTTTACGAGTTTTATTTGTCATTCATTGAAAATGTCCCCCATGGTTGTGGACATGCCAATCCCTACATTTGCCTATGTGTTTGTTGTGGATACTCTGTTTCCTATGCTGAGATGGACAGAAATTTATAAGAGTTCCTTTGTCATTATTTTATTCAGGCAAGAATGAAAACTTTGATCATAATAGAAACTCCCTCTTTTCTCAAGTACTGAATTGTCTCAAGGTAGCTTTCTTTGACTTTTTAGAATGGGATTTTAACAATTGGTGTCTTGAGTTGCTTTTGGAAATTCCTCTGCCATGGTCTCCTTAAGTATCCCTTTATTCCTGCCCTTTCTAGACTGTAATTGACTGTGTGTGAGATGCATTCAGTGTGTCCCCTCTAACTCTTCCTCCCCTTCTTGAATATTCTCCATCATTTCATCTCTCCAGGCTTCATTTTGTCTGTTTTCTTCAGATCTGTCTTTCATTCCTTAAAGTCTTCATTCAAAACATGCAGATTGCCTGTCAACCTTGAACTGTAGCACTGAACATTCAGGGACCATCTTCTTACTCCTTCACAAGAAAAGAGTGAGGTCAGGGTAAGAGATGCTATGCAATTTTCCAAGGCCACCCAGACTGGGATCAGATGAGTAGGAAGGACCCTCTGCTCACCCTGTTCCTTTGTGCTGGCTCCCCCTTGGGCTACAAACACTGCCCACGTCTCAGATCCCCTAAAGTGGAACCACAGGAATGTTTCAGCCTTGGTAGCACGGGGGTATATTTCTGTTTACAGTATAAAAATCAGTGATGTTTCTTTACCATCCTTGTTCCAACGCCCACCCCTGGACTTCTGGCATCACCACGATTAATATATTGTTTACAATTTCAGAGGACAAACACAAAGTTGATGATTCTCTACAATCGGCTAGATCCGGCTGTATTCCGAGAAGGAGAGTTCCCACTTGCTCTGAGGAAGCCAGTCCTGGCGTTGATCAGTTACCTCTCCAGGGTCAAGGTGACCACGTGGCAAGGAGGCATGCTCTAATCAGGTCTGGAGTACGATAGTAAGTGACCACGGTAGCAAGCATGTCCCAGTGGAATATGTGACACTAGATTTCAAGTTCTCATTCCTCTTCTACCCTACATCCCGGTAGGATGAAGAATACTAGGACAAGATTAATGGTTGAGCAAACATTATGATAACCTTCTGTTTCTGTATCACCATAGCACCCCCTATCACAGTCCATCTTCCAAGGAGGGTGACACATATCAAACAGGAGATCTAACTCAGGGTAATGTGGAGAGAGAGCGAAAAGATCCGGAGGCAGGAATGGAGGGGAACTGGCAGGATGGAAGCACCCAGAGCTTCTCCAGCATCACAGTGAGTGTCCTGGCAAAATGAACATAATGTGCAGGGGAGACAGGGTGGTGGAATTGTGCTGATCCCATGTGGGGACACTGCTGGGGCATGGGGTGCCGGTAAAGTGCGCTTTTTCTTCCATGATGTTTTCATCCTTGATGCATCTAAAGTCATGTTGGGAGAAGTAAGGAAAAGGGACCAGGCAGGAGGCAGGGAGAAAGGCAATGACTGTCTACAATGGTGTAAACCACTCGCAAGGAGATGGAGCAACTCCCCCTGCTTGGCTCTAGTTTAGTTCAAACTGAAGGATGGGAGGAGGAGACAGGCCGTGGGCAGAGTCTCTGGAGGCCTTGTCAGAGGGGGAGGCGGGGACTGCCTGAAGAAGGCTCTCCCAGAAGCTTAGGAAAGCAGGAGCCTTTTATAAAAATTGAAGATGATTATTTGCAAGAAAATGTTGGAATATACAGAAAAACAGTATTTATCACACCCCATATGATATCAAAGTTAGAAATAGGGATATTGGTCTAAGAGTAGAAACACTTTTAAAGCTCTGTGTAAGGAACACATGCTTGGGTCTCTATTCACGCAGTATTTCCATCATGATGGTGGCCTCTTCCATCCTTGCTGATGCTACAAAACTCCATTTGGCATGATGGGTGACTGGTATTGGCTGGTGAATTTGTCCCAGGGTCAAACCAATGTTCCCTTCACTCTGGCACAGGGAGACAAGCAAGTGGGTATAGAACAGTGGAGGGTCCAAGCTGAGCTAGGATTCTGGTCTGCTGTAGCTCCTCCCTGAATGTCACTGTGAGAAAGGGCAGGCCGAATTCTTGCAGGAGGGTGCCAGCATTGAGCTTGCATTGAAGAACGTCAGCAGCAAGATTTGGGATGAGGATAGTACGTGTCAGGACCTAGGCAAGGCTAGTTGGGAGCAGTTGGGCATGCTGAGATGGGAATGTCTTCCTTGATATTGGGGTTTAAAGGTCCTGGTATTTACCCACCACGTCTCTCGCCTTCGTTGCAGAGCCCTCCCTTTGACATCGCTTCTGCGGTACCCGAGGCTGTGCAGAAGGAGCTGGAGTCAAGAAACACAGAAATGTTTGAAGGAATGCCGACTCCAGAGGTGTGTGGCCACGCTCAGACCCACCACCACTTCTTCCATCACAGGTCCCCCTCCTACCACCTGAGGCCCAAGCCACTAATCCCCATCTCTGTCTCTGTAGGTGACCAAGATGAAAAGAGATGAGGGCTGTCAGGGAGCGCATGACCTTCCTCAGGAGGTCCACTCAGATTCAGGTATACAAGATAGGAGTCATTCTAGGGCAGTTGGGTGCAGAGTGGTCTTTGTGGGAGGGGTGGTTAGAGGGTAATTTAGGGAAGGGTTGGTGCTGAGGCCGGTTCAGCTGCGCCCTTTCATCCACCTGACCCCTTGTCTCCTATTCTAGAAGGAGTGATGCACCATGCTACTGAAATGGGACTGAATATTAGAAAGGGCACGGCTTTCTCCCTTCAGATCCAGGAGAACATGCCCAAAGTGAGGCCTTTAGTTTTGCTCGTGCTGAGGGTGGTGGTGAGGATGGGGCAGCTGGGGAGGGCAGATTTTTCCCAGATGTCACTTCTTGGAGCCTTTTATCACCACAGCCTTTGTCCTTCAACTAGAGCAACACCAGATGTTACAAGATGGTTGGCATGCCCAACAGGGGGCAGAAGGATCCCAACATCCAGAGGAGGGACCTCTTAGAAAATCAGGTGAGAGGCATTCGCCAGAGCTCACTGGGGAAGGAAGGAGGCATTAGGGTGATGACAAAAGACAGGTGATAAGGCGTTTTGTGGGAGATGGTGGAATTGGGGTGAAGGGCCCTCCTGGATCACACTCCCTGATTCATGTTTTCTTGTTTTTATTGCAAATGAAGGCTGAAGGGCAGATTGACGAGGTGAAAGGGCTGGAGCCAGAAGAGATGTGTGCGGGCAGAAAGCCTCTGTTCATCATCTCTCCGGATAAGCCCAGCAACATGAGGTCAGTTATGTCTTGTGATACCCTGGGGAAGACAGAGGCACGGAGCTGGCATGCTCCAGTTCTCTGTCTGAGTGAGTCCATGGTGGGTATTGACATTGAAAGGGCATTGACATTGAAAGGGCACACCCAGGAGTGGGACACACACATCAGTGATCCTGTGTGCTGTCCTTGTTTCAATCAAGGCGGCAAGCCTCTGATTTTCTCTTTTGCCTTGACATATAGCAGTGACCTCCTGGACTCGGTCCCCAAGCTAATAAGCCTGGTGAGTATGTTTCTTTTCCCCTGATTCCTCTGCCTGCTACATAATGCCACCCACAACCTGCCCTGAGTCCCTTAGACCCTGCCCAGGTTAGATGTTTGGATCTGGCCCTAATCTCCCTGGGAAGGAAGCCCCCGTGGGGAAGCTGATAAAGCCTGAGGACTTTCTCTGCCCTTCTTCACTAGCAGCCCAACTCCTGGTAAAGACCCCTTGATAAGCATGTCCATGGCATCTCTAGGACCCTTTACCATTTGGCTTTTACCAGGACCTCTGACCTCTCCTAATTTCCGGTGCCCATCCTTTTTCCTCGTCACGTGCCCCAACCCCAGTCAGCACTGCCTGCTGACATCTACTTCCCTTCCCCAGGATGATCAGGAGTTGCCCTCACCTGTTTTCTCTGGCATTGGGAATGACATGAAGTTAGCAGCCTGCAAGGTGAGAAGGCAGGACCAAGCAGGGATTAGAGTGGTGTGTAAGGAGGGGATGTCAGCTAGGGTCCTGAAATCCATGTTCATTCCAGGGGAGTGTCTTTGAATCAGAGGCCCTGAAGGATCTAGTCTGGATGTTCCTGAATCAGTAAGAGCCCTTTGTGCCGTGAGGCAGCACACACATTGAGATGGGCCCATATGCCCATGCACAGGCCTGCTTATGGTGGGGGCAGTTGGGTCTTTAAGTCTCTAAGGAGCCCTTGCTTCCCATTAGGTATTACATTATCTACGATGATGGGGACCGAGTGAGTCTCCTGAGTGCTTACCACAACAATGCCTGTTTCTCACTGACTACTCTCTTCGACCCTGGGGGTCATCCCATGTGAGTATCTCAGACCAGACGACTGCACTGGCCCTGTGACTCCCAGCAGACACTGGCCAGTCCTCCACCTTCTGTTCCTACTTTCTTCCCAGAGTCAGATTGGCCAACTACTCCACGGAGAACAGGATTTTGAAGGAGCTCAAGGAAATTGGTATGTGTCTGAGACTGAAGATTGGATGAGGCAGGAGGTGTGAAGGTAAATCACAGGGACCCAGTGAGTGAGGCAGTTCTTGACCATCTCTCGTCTTTGCCCACAGGGCCATGTGTTCACGTGCTGAAACAAACAAAAAAGGAGGTTGTGGACTTCCTCTGTGTGTTGCCCAGGACCGAGCATGACCTCAGCTCCTTCGTGGTGGACACATGTATCCAGAGGGTGAGCACTGCTGCTGTGCAGAGCCAGGGACAGAGGACAGAGGTGGGTAGGAGAGGGAGCAGGTTCCTGGGAGCCTGCATTTTTTTTTCTCTTTCAGAGAAGGATGATCTTCTTCTCTGTCCGTGGGAAGTTCAAGGAGGGTAAGTGTGTGCCAAGTTTCTCCCCCTTGCTCCCCACTGTTCCCACTCAGAGGTCTACAGGCTTCCCTGCTCCCTTCCCTTCCCTTTCCCTGTATGCTGTCCAGCTCCACCCTGCCCCACCCCCAACTCACTTTTGACTAACCCACAGCTATGACTGCTTGCCTGTCTTACCACAGCCCAGGTGGTAGAGGCACAGGACATAGAGTTTGATAGCTCTCATCATGTACCCTCACTATGCCCCCCCGGGGCACCTGTTTAACTTCGTGGTCGACTCCTTTGCAAAATGAGTCTAGTAATCTCCCTCTCTTGGGCTATTGTGTAAAATATGGCAAATATACTTATGAAGAGATTGACACAGGACCCAACACAGAGCGGTGACTTATCAGTTGGAAGAGTTTGCACCTCTTGTTGCCCACCCAAATGTTTACCTCCCAGGGATAGCTGTCCCTGTGTGACATCCTCAGTGTGCCGTGATATAAACACCACTGTTGAGTGGGTAATGCATTGTAACCCTGACTGTCTGTGTTGTGCTTTGTCTTTGAAGTTGATAGTATGTGTGAGCGTCCTGTCTGCGCCTTCAAACGGAACTTCCTTTTGAGGATTGACAGTGATTCCAGGTTAGTGCTGTGTTTTTGATCACAGGGGCAACACCATCCCACACAATGGTCAAAGGATGGGATGGTTACATGGGATTCCTCAGGATTTCCCCAGTTTTGTAGAATTCCAAAAGGTAGATCCCATGAGCACACCGTCCTAGTGGTTTATAGGATGTAGGCTGTGGCATAGTGACTTCTCAGCCCGACGCCAGCCTTCACTAGCTTTGTCCCTTTGGAATGTTGCATGACTTCTCTGGGACTCTGTGTGCATCTCAGAATAGGATGCTTAGAATAACCAGCCGGTTGCATGGTATAAAGGTAAAAGCAAGTATGAAACTCTGTCTGGGGTGGGGGAACCTATACACCTAGGAAAGGTGGCAGACAGCTCTCCAAAGGCAGGTTCTATGTGAGGGAAAAGGGTACCGGCCTAAGAGTCAGGGAGGCAGGCAGAGTCGTGCATGGCAGGAAAGTGGTTGTCCAGTGTGGGAGGGATTGTTGTTGTCTGAGGCCCCTCCTTTCTCCAGCATGTTCATCATTAATGACCAAATGACTGTGACTGAAGTGAGCCCCAAAGAACCCCAAAGTGCCCCAGTGCCCACAGCCTCCTCCAGCTTTGTGCCCACCACGTCCCAGGAGCAGCAGGATGTGCAGCAGGCCACCTCTACTGGGTCTGGTATGAGTCTCCCGTGGTCTCAGAAGTAAGCGTGGGATGGGTGGGGATGGGAGGAGCTAGAGAGCGAGTGAAGGAAACTCAGGTAATGCATTTTGCTTCTTCATGTCACACTGGACCTCATTCCCACTGTGTGCCTATTAAGCCATCTAGTGCTTTACAACAGGTGCCCAGGCCTCTTGATGTCCATGGACTGTGTGCCTTTATGGACACACATGTGTCTAGGAGTTTCCCCCTTACCCACCGTTCTGCTGCTTTTGTCACAAGAACTGTGCTTGGAGACAGGTTTAAGATGTATAGATTAGGAAGCCACCTTGTGTGCTCAGAGCTTCCTGTTCGGTCCTGGTGTGTGTACCTGACCTTCCTCTATGCCAAGTATCTCCATGACAAGCACTGGGATGACACCAGGCCTCATAGATTTTTGCTGTGTCTGCAGCCCAGTCTTAAAATGTAGGCCAAGTGAGCAGAGACAAAAGTGGCCAGGGAGTGACACTCAGGCGTATTGGCTCAGGGGATTCCCTGACTCTTCTCTTCTCTCTCTCCAGCCACTGACTGAGGTCTCAGAAGGTGCATGCATGAAGGGGCACGCAGACCTCACAAGGGAAACTCCAAAGGAACCAAGGTTCTGGTCACCTTCATCATCCCTGTGATTCTCCCTCTTCTGTGCCACCCAACTTCTGTAACTTTCAAAAATAAAGAGTGATGTTGTTTGTTATGTTAAATCCCTGCAGTGTCCATTTGAGTCATGCATTATCAGCACTGCCTGGTAGCTTACCTTCTACAGGGGCTGCTGCTACAATTAAGCATTAGATCCTCTGAAGGAGAGAGGAACTATAATAAGAAAGTAGGGTGAGTAGGTCAGGGATGGCTTCTCTATGGGACTGACATTGAGCTGATTTTCAAATAGCAAGATGGAAGTTCATAGTATCTGAGCACAGTACACAAAACCCACAGCCACGACAGTGGTCCAGAGGTGTCAACAAGTATGGCGTGTGTGTGGAAAACGTTTGCTGGAGGGCAATAACCATTAGGAAGGCAGTGGTAAGAAAGGAGTTCGGTGTGGTAGGAGGGGCCAGATCACAGGAGGCCTTGTAGGCCATGGTTTGGGCTTCGTGGATTCTTTCTATGATGGATGTCCTCGGGGAGTTTAAGAAAGAAACATCAGACAAGGCAAGATATGACAAAATAACAATTTATAAACTATCAAGGGCTCATGAGGGAGCGGGAAGCGGGGAGGGAGGGGAAAATGAGGACCTAATGTCAAGGGTTTAAGTGGAGAGAAAATGTTTTGAGAATGAAGTACAATTGATGTGTATATGGATTGTGATAGGAGTTGTATGAGCCCCTAATAAAATGTTTTTTAAAAAAATAAGAGCAAGAAAAAAAAGAAAGAAATGGGTGCTATAGTCTACTTTTCTCAGCATCTTTCTGTGAATGCTGGTTAGAGATAGACTGAAGGACAGTAACAGTCGGAAGAAGTCTATGAGGTAAGACAGTACAGTAATCATGCAGGCGAGAGGTCGGTTTGTCAGCGAATGCAAGAATCAGCATAGATGTGGACATATCTGACACCTGGCTTCCCTATTGCCATGAGGCAAGTACAGGCATAGGCTCCATCCTTTGTTACCTATTCTGACACCAAATCTTCCTCCCACGCAGTGCTACTTACGCTGAATTTGATAATTCATCACAATGGTCACACAAACAGACGTTACTCAAAATAAGGATTTGTAAAAATCTTTTTATTGGGGGCTCGTACTACTCTTATCACAACCCATACATACATCTATTGTGTTGAACACATTTGTGCATTTGTTGCCATTATTTTCAAAACATTTTCTTTCTACTTGAGCCATTGGTCCTCATTTATTTCCCTCCATCCCTCAACCTCCCTCCCTCAGAAACCCATGTTAATTTATGAATTATTATTATTATTTCAAGTCATACACTGACCGATGTCTCCCTTCACCCATTTTTTTCTGCTGTCCTTCCCCCTGGGAGGGGTTATAGATAGACCATTGTGATCGGTTCCCCCTTTTCCCCCCATCTTCCCCTTATCCTCATAGAATCACTACTCTCAATATGGGTTCTGAGGGTTTTATAGGTCCTGGATTCCCTGTGTTTCCAGTTCTTATCTGTACCCATGTACATGCTCTGGTCTAGCCAGATATGTAAGGTAGAATTTGGTCATGATAATAGCCAGGGGTTGGAGTGTGTGTGAGAGAGAAAGCATTAAAGAACTAGAGGAAATTTGTATTTCCTCGGTGCTATACTGTATCCTGATTGGCTCAACTCTTCCCTGTGACCCTTCTGTAAGGGGATGTCCAATTGTCTGCAGATGGACTTTGGGTGTCCACTCCACACTGTCCCTCATTCACAATGATATGATTTTTTTTGTTCTGCGTCTTTAATGCCTGATACCTGATCTCATTGGCACCTCATGATCACACAGGCTGGTGTGCTTCTTCCATATGGATTTTGTTGTTGCTGAGCTAGATGGCTGATTGTTTATCTTCAAGCCATTAAATCTCCTGAGACTATATCTTTTGACAGCTGGGCACCATCAGCTTTCTTCACCACATTTGCTTATGCACCGCTTTTATCTTCAGCAGTTGTGTCAGCAGCAAGGTTTTTATTAAGTCAATAAGGGACCACAAATCAGGATAAGCAAACAGTAAGGATACAGTCCTTGGTCTCCTCAGCCAGCACCCACGTTTCTCTCTGGTTCTCAGACTTTGCCACATGAACCCTTGGCCTTCGCCTCCATGGGCCATGAAACCAGCCTGCCTGTCCCTCTGTCCCAAAGTTCCACAGTCTCTTGGCAAATGAAGAGAAGGTCCCTCACAATGTTTGCACTGCTCCTTTGAGTTCCCTTGCCACAGTCTTTGATACACCTCTTCTCAGTGGCCTCTGCCACTTCAGAGAGTTTTTAAATCTTCCCTCCCAAGGTCCTCATTGTTTCTTTCTGTGTGGCTACCTTAATGATGGCATATCTTACTGATCATTGAGTAGTAACAAAAAAGCTACCAATCCCCTCTCTTAGTGCTACACTTGCCGCATTTGTGTAATCCCATCCGATCATTTGGTATGAATTAGCGACTTGCCTAGAAGCGTCGTATTTAGATATTTCACTCCAGAACAAGTGGATTCCTGTGGAAAGTGGATTCACTGAACTTGTTGATGGAGTGCATATCCCTGGGGAAGGGCGAAGAGGAACCAAGAGGATTGGCAAAAACCGCAGTCTGAGAAGGTGTATAAGGCTGATACCTGAGATAGTGGAAGGCCAGGATTGGTGTGAGGCCAGGAAGCTGAGAGTTCTGTTTGGGTTATCTTGGTGGTGAGGTCTGTTGGAAAACTAAAGGTAGGTTTGCGTGTTGGGATATAACAGTCTCACGCGCCTTGAGTAGCCATTGTTTGCGGAAAACTTATACTACCACAGCTGAATAATTCAACGGGATGACATATAATGACTCCACAAATGAGCAGACCAAGGGTCTAGATTCTGGAAGGCATATGGAGATTTAAAATCAGTTTTCTTGGCTTACTGATGAATTACATATAATTATATACATAATGTTTTGGTGAAGTTTTTCCATACATGACTAGAGAAATGAAAAACTAAATTTCTAATTTTTGTGTATTGCCTATGTTAGTTGTATTGGAGATTTTTAAATACTGGTTAGTACCAAACTGTTCCACGAAAAGAAAACTGGCAGACTAAGTTTTCATTTTGGAATCTAGTTGTAATTAACTCTCCCCTTTCTTCTTTTATAGAGCATGGGACATACTTGTACACAAAATTGTTTACATTTTTTATTTCAAAAGATTATTTTGAAATTTACAAATAAAAACAAAATTGCCGGAATATAGCACCCATTTTAGATCATAATTTTGCCCAGACAGTCTATGAAGGAGGTGGCAAAGTCTAAAGTCCTTTGGCTTCGTATTCCCTCCAGGAGACAACTACCACTTGTCTATCAGTCTGTGCTACTTTGGTGGCTTGTGCATTGCTCTGATGCTGGAAACTATGTCACTGGTATTTCAGTTACCAGCTTGGTCACTCCAAGTGAACAGGTTTCAGCAGAGTTTCCATCCTAAGAACAGACATTGAACAAGGACTCTGTGGGATTATAAAGAGATTTTTCCCAAGCTTTGTCTCCCCCAAAGACATGCCAAATATTAGGGGCTTTTTGGCAGCATATGGTGGGAGGTCAGATGCTTAGAAACATCCTCCCTGAAGACAGTCAGTTGCCAGACAGGTATGGCCACTCCCTGCTGTTAAGGACAATGAGCTACTTCTCCATGAAGGCTTGGGACCATTGGCTTGGTTCCTGTAGGTGGGGTTTACACCCTACTGATAATGGTTCCTATGGAGAACCAGAGGACAGATCAAACCAATTCAGTGACATCCAAAGTTAGGCTGCCATCCTGAATCTAGGATCCGCCCTTCTTGTCACATGTATACCCCAATCCCTCCTCTTCTTATTGCATGTAGATCCCTAGATTGTCCCCCTCCCATTGCTGTATAACCTATAGTGCAAGTCCTTCCTGTGACATATGGCTTTATCTGTAATTAGTGGGCTTGCAAGCCCCCAAAGATATATAGGCCTGGGTTAACAATAAAGAGATCTCTTGGCTCCTCCCTTGACCTATCGTCAGTTCCCTCTCTCCTCTCCCATCTTCACACCCCTGTTCCCTTTCCCCTTGTCCTCCTTTCCTTCCCCCTCTCTCAATGTAGACCACCAAGTGGGACTGAGGTGAGCATTGCTACCATGAAATGTGTCTGACTCCATTATTTCTATCTCTCTTCTATCTCTCATGCTCTCTACGACTTTGATATAATATTTATATATAATACGCATACAATTGTGCCTATCGAACCCATGATTAATGGTGGGGGGGATGACACCCCCTCCAACTTCAGAACGTGGTTCCCGGTCCGGAGAAAAAAGCCACTGAAAGCCAGACACACAGCATCTAAACATTGGCAGATAATGAAGGCTGAATGAACGGAAGCCAAATATTGTTGAAGAGAGTGCCGGAGGACGGTTCTTGGGATGACAGATGGATATACCTGAAGAGGAGCTGCTTTCCCATAGTGGAGTCAATGAAGATGATAGGATTGGGGAAAGCTGTGTGAGTGGAGCCCTCAGGATCTTCATTTGCTGATGGCACATGACTCAAGGCAAGAAGAAGTCGCTGCAAAAATCTGCTAACAATAAGAACTTGGAATGTATGAAGTATGAATCTAAAAAAATTGGAAGTCTTCAAAAATGAAGTTGAACGCATAAAGACTGATATCCTAGGCATTAGTGAGGTGGCCGTTTTGAATCAGAAAATCATACGATTTGCTACACCGGTAATAACACAATCAATAGGAATGGCTTGGCATTCGTCAAAAAGAACATTGCAAGATCAATAAAGTGCAATGTTGTCTGTAAGAAGATCATATCTATCCACATTCAAGGAAATCCGATCAAGAAAACTATTATTCAACATCATGCACCAACCACAACAGCTAGTGAGCAAGAAAACTAACACTTCTAACATCTTCAGTTGAAAATTGATGAAATATGCAATCAAGATGACAGTTACTGGAGATTGGAACTCAAATGCTGGAAACAAAAAGAAAGGAACAGTAGTTGGAAAATATGAACTAGGCAATACAAATGAAGCAGAATATTGCATGATAGAAT